AACTTTTCCAAGGGTATTAGCACGTAAGTGAATGCAATGAACTCGACTGGAATTCGAACTGGGATCTCCGATTCCTCAAGCTGAGCCGCTAGCCATTACACCGGTGTGCTTCCCAAAAATGTATAAACTTTAACAAAACATAGGCAAGAAAGAGAGAGAGAGGGGGAGGAGGGAGAGAGAGAGAGAGAGTGAGAAAGAACGAAAAACAAAGGAAGAGGGGGGAAATAAGAGCAAAAGAGAGGGAAATAAAGTTACCTTTCCTTCGTTCTCTCTCTCTCTCTCCCTCTCTCTCGCTCTCTCTCTCTTTCTCAATCGTTTTCCTTTTGCTCCCTCTGCCATTCCAAAGCTTTTATCCTAGGTCTACTGATATCTAAGAAGATTAACGCGAAACAGACTAGATTTTTACAGCGGCTTCAAGAAAAGGTATAGCAACTGGCTCTGATTTTATGGCCTTGCTATACTTTTTCTTTCTTTTTTTACCCCACACAAGGCAATAAAGCCACGGCGATGTAGTGGGGTTGCTGAGTGTTAGAGAAAATAATAAAAATACTAGTATTCAGGAGAGAGAATAGTAAAAGAACAATAATTAAGAATACAGAAGATGACATTGCGTTTAAAATGTTGAAGATCAAAGTTAACTTGGAAGTAAGAAACCGGGAGGGTTCCGCAAGCGAGAAGTGCGAGACAAGTCGTAAAAATGGGAGAATAAAGAAGGGGAGTAGGAAAGAAAGTATAAATAAGAAAGCGATGATGAGAAGTAGTAAGTAAAAACGAAAGAAAGAAAAAAGACGATACATAGTAGTAAAATGGTGGTGTAAAGAAAGAAAGAAAGAAAGAAAGAAAGAAAGAAAGAAAGAAAGAAAGGAAGAGAGAAAGAAAGAAAGGAAGAAAGAAAAAGAACAAAGAAAAAGAAAATAAAGAAATACCAACAAAGAAGAAAAAGCCGAAAGGAAGAAAGAAAATAAAAACAATGGAGGAAAAGAGGAAAAGAAGAAAGAAAAAAGAAGAAAAATCAAGAAGTAAATAAAGAGAAAGAAAGAAAGTCGCGGAAAATAGTAAAAAAGAAACCAAAAAAAAAAAAAAAGATCGATTATGATAAGTATCGTTATTTTTGTTGTTTGTATTACAACTTTTTCGGTCGATATGTTTTGGGGCTTTACACTTGTGTATATTGTAATCCGAGAATATGTTTTTGTTCGAGGCGTCGAATGGCAGAAATGTTATATTAAATAAGAAGATTAGAAGTCCTAATGGCATATTGATACTAACGTTTTGCACAAAGGTTAAGTTTTGTGCAAGGTTCTTACTTCAAATTACTTTAAGATTGAAAAATACGTTTTATGGGGCAAGTAATTTCCTCTTTATAAGAGGAGGTCACCTTTTCACCGATATTGATTTCCCCAAAGTAATGATCCACTGAGTCGTCGTCGAATATCAAGCCGTTATTTCTGGTCACATCAAAATAACATCAGGACAATGGGCTGACCGGATATGTTGTGAAGAAGATGGGGAAAAAACAGTTGAACAGGTAAACATAATATGACATATTGATGAATAAAAGTAGTTAGGGAACTTAGTGTAGGAATCCAGTGTTTGTTATATAACCGGGTAAGATATTTTCGTAATAATAAAACATCGGAGAATGATTGAAACGTCTAGAAGTTGAAAGTCAAGATCTACTGTCATCCTCATTACTCTTTTCTGTTCCTGCTCATTATTAATGTTTCTGTTCCTAATTCTTCCACACCCTGTGACCACTTGTGTTTTAGAGGCTTCAGCGATAAAAGCTAAACAAAAGAAATGAAGCCAGGGATAAAATCAGTCGAGAGGAAAACATTATTGGTCAATAAGAGGAGACAGAAATAGGAAGATTAATGAATGTAAAACACTTCCTAAAATTTCTATCAAAATTCGAAGGCCTATTGAGTTAGCGATACTTGCCTTCCATATGTCAAGTAAAGTATTAAAAAAACAGGAAAGTTCCGTTTTAGACAAAGAGGATTGGACTGTTATGTAATATCAGTACTCATATATGGCAGTGAATGTTGAACCATTTAGTCACAGATGAAGAAGAGACTTGAGTCATCTGAAATTTGGTTCTAGGTAAAAGTGCTGAAAATACTATGAACTAAACATATGAAGTTTTAGAAAAAAACGACGCTTATATGAAGCATCAGAAAAAGACAGTTAAAAATTCTAGGGCACATAATGAGGAAAGAAGGCTCAGAAAATTTGATACCCACAGGACAGATTGAAAGCAAGAGAAACAAAGGAAAGTGGCAAATTAACTACATAACAAGCTTATGTAAATGTTTACCAGAACAAGAATTAAGAGAGACAGTAGACCACACATAAACATATTGGGTTTCTTTTACAAGCACTTAATTATACAAAATGATGAGGTAACAATACCAATTTCATTATTAATTAGACGTATATTAATATATATTTGCAATACAAAATTATTATTCTAATAATTATTATTACCCACATTATACAATATTACTTTGATCAAACGCAATAATGTGTAGGAATAAAGCGCAGTGTACATGTGTCCGTCTGTCCGTCCGGTTTTCGATCTCGGCGAATAATAAACAACCTGAATAAACATGTAGTAACTAGTGTAGTTCCACGCGATTAAAAATTAAATAAATGTGGTGGTAAAGTAACGACTCGACTGATAATAGAAGATAGGAACCACGAGGAGGGTAACCGACAAAATAGTGTCACACGTCCAACCTTCTCACGAGCAAAAAACTCCCTCCTCTGAAACAAAAACGCGCCTGCTTTATACAGCCGAGGACCGACCATGATTTGCATGCGAATGACGAGACAACGAGATTTCGTGTTAACTGTCCGAGACCGCCCGACATAAAAAATGGGCGCCGCCATTTTTTTTTTTTTTTTTAAAACGTTGAACAATCGGAGTATGCACGACGCACAGATTCGCGGGCGTTTCCGAGGTAGGCCATTTTCACAATTTTCCCCACAATAAATGATTCACTTGAAGTTAAATTCAGAGTGAAAATTAAAAAAAAATTCTTTATTAAATGTATAAATTTAATTTAACTTTTCATCACAATCGCAATTGTTATCGTCTAATTAAAACTTTAGCGGGGCACGGTACGTTGCTCATAGGCTTTTATTTTCTTTTTCCTAGCACGCGTACTGTGACGTATTTGAAATATTACATACTTCAGGTTTCCTAATGTCTTTTAAGAGTGTCTTTATGTAAAGGGATCATAAAGAAACGTGATTTTAAAAGAAAAGAAAAATTACGCACAAAATAAATGTAAACAAACTACGGAAATCCGTTGCGTATACGAAGAAAGATTATGCCGAATTAAGGTGTCGAATAAAGATAAAATAATTTTATTATTTCTAAATTCTTATAACTTTTACGTATACAGGACACTGATTGTAAAAGTTCGAAGAGCCAAAGCCCTTCGCAGGAGCCAACGTATAGGCCGCGCGAAGGGCGGTTTCTATGCCAGTAAATCAATAAATGGAAGGTCTTCACAATTTGTGAAAAAATGAAGTTCCCGATGGAGAGAACAACAGAAAAAAAGACACACCATTCAACATATTAAAAATTGAAATAATTTTAATTGGTTAGAAAAGCGTAGTTTATTACTATCAAGTGATTATTTATTGTTTCAAGAATATATACAGTCTACAATCAACAATTGTTAAGACACATAGCCACACAAGAAATAAAAAGCATAAAATCATCGTTTGTAGGCAATCAGAGTAGGAAATCTATCTTCAAATTGAATATAATATTATTAATTTAGACTGATAAAGAGGGTATAACACTTGTTATATATGACTCAACTGATTTATACATATGTATGTTTATCAATTTGTGTTATGTATCATATTCTATTGTTTATTATTAATTGTATTTATACGCATTTTTAACAAATTACATATTTAATGACAACATTTTTGCTGTGTTCATTCTGGATTATATACGCGAACTGATATACAAATGTGTATCGAAAAGGGATGCTGAATTTCCTATTGAAACTGTTGTATAAACAGAAAAACGGTCCTAGTTCAAGAACCCCTTGTCTAATTTTTAATCAAATTTGGCACTCATCTCAGCAGGTGTTCAAGCTACAATATGCTACAATATGGAGTATTATGTATCGTTTAAGCTGTTCTCTGGAATACACAGATATACATACAAGATTAGAGTTTTAGTATGATATAGATAACAAAAATATAGACATTACCTTGAGATACAAGAAGGACAAGAAGAAAATCATAATCCTTCATATCATGAAAGGACACAATACAAGAAGAAGGATGGTAAGTAAATGTCTATAAGAGGAAGGTAGATGTTGGCCCGCCTTACTTAAAAGAACTATCAAACTGGTCTGTAAGACTAATTTGCTCGGGTAATCTAAGATAATCTACTAACGGCACTATATACTATACTAAACCCAAGTGAAACAACGAATATCAGAATATTGGAAGATCAGCGCTAAATAATCTTCCTGCTCCTTGTTTTTGTTTTTATCGAAAAATAAGCTTAGTAAAGTAAGCGAAAAGAGTGGGAAAACGAAAGAAAATATGATGAGTAGGGGAAAAAGAGGAAAGGAAGAAAAACAAAGGGAGGGTTAAGAGAGAAAAAAGACAGAAAGGGAGAAGATATGAGAGAAAAAAAACTATAATATGGAAGAGATAGGAGAGAAAGATGACAAAAGGGAAGACGAAATACCCAAAGAAGTTTAGAGTTAAAACTTGGGTTATATTTAGTGAAGATTTGGGGGGGGGCTTCATCATTTTAAGATCATCCTCTGTTTCCAATTCTCTGGTTCTGAAAGCCAATAATTAAATGAAACCTGAATCTGGGGAAATTTGTCAATCAGCATCACTGCTTGAATAAGGAATTAGGGGCAAGGACATGATTGCTGCTATAATCAAGGAAACCGTTTAATTTCTAGATGACCTACAATACGAAAATGAGTTGTGTCCTGGGTACCATGAAGTATCTATAGGAGTGTGTGTGTTTGATAGAGAGAGAGAGAGAGAGAAAGAGAGAGAGAGAGAGAAGAAGTGGAAGAGTGGGAGATAGAGATTGATAGGGAGAGAGGGGAGATTATGCAAAAGAAGTTAGCGAAAAAAAAAGAGGCGGTATATATCTCAGAAATGGAAAGCAGATCGAAAACAGAGAACAAGAGAGAAAATAAGTGTAGTAGGTGAAACGAAAAGGGGTGAAGGAATTAAGGCAAGAAACCAAAAAGAAGAAAATTAATAAGACAAGAATAAGGAAGAATTCCGAAGAGAAAAACCAGAATACCGTATATATTAAAGGAGAGAGAAAGAAAAATAAGATATAATTTTCACTGACCCTTCTTTCTTTCTTTTTTTCTTTCTTTTTCTTTCTTTCTTTCTTTCTTTCTTTCTTTCTTTCTTTCTTTCTTTCTTTCTGTTTTTCTTTGCGATTTAAACCTAGCCGTCCAATTGTTTTTCTTTGTTTCTTTGTTTCTTTCTTATATTCATTCTTTCTTTCTCTTTCTTTCTTTTTTTCTTTCTTTCTTTCTTTCTTTCTTTCTTTCTTTTCATCATACTTTTCTTTTTTTCTTGTAATTTATATCTAACCATCCATTTGTTTTTCTTTGTTTCTTTCTTCGTTTCTTTCTTACATCCATTCGTTCATTCTTTTTCTTCCTTTCTTTCTTTCTTTCTAACTTTCTTTTCTTTTTTTTCTCGCGATTCAAATCTAGCCTTCCATTTGTTTTTATTTTCTCTCTTTCTTTATGATTTAAACCTAGATTTAGATTTGTTTTATTTTCTTTGCAATTTTTACTTAACCTTCTATTTATTTTCTTTCTTTCTTTCTTTCTTTCTTTCTTTCTTTCTTTCTTTCTTTCTTTGTCTACATATCTATCAAAATTGGTTTCCTTAGTCTCTCTGTCTACTTATTCTTTGGTGCCTAACAGAAATGGGTATTTATTTATTTGAAGAAATTGTCCGATTTTTACCGAGTTTATGACAACCACCACATTTATTAACTTGACACGTTCATTATATATTGAGAAAAATAGACTCTCCTGTAATTGTATTAATCAACTAAGTGCTTCTATCTATCTGCCCATCTATCTTATATATATATATATATATATATATATATATATATATATATATATGGAGGAAAGATATATAAAAATGGAAAAAGCTTTCCATTGGCGCCTTTCATCCTTTAGAATAAGTTTCCCAGCCTCTCTCGTTTGTGCGCATGCGTAGTCACATCAGCGTAAACGAACCTTGTCCAATGAAGTCCTAAGAGACGAAAAGCGTCACACGAAAACGTTCCTCTTTGTCATACAGCTTTCCTCTAAAACTGTCCTAACATATAAAAAATTATATATTATTCAATGCAAGGTCGAAAGTTAGATTTGTAGATTTATAGGATGGACTCAGATGTGAAAAATCTTCTGGCGCGGCATCCTTGCGGTAGAGGAAGCTATTGATTCAATGTAATTGTTCCACCTCAAGTCAGTGGATAACGTGAAGCCAAGAGGTTGCAGAGAGACAGGGAGGCTTCTCTATGGTGGGTTAATTAGAGCAGTTTCGTTTTGGAGGCATTAAAGTTTACGAGTCGTGTCCTGCCACAGATTGGAGGTCCTTTTCGAGACCAACGGTCAGGTTAACTTTGTCAGCAATGTCGGATTTACTATTGAGACGTAACTGGTAGTGTCGTCTGCGTAGATAACTACTTGAGAACTGATGACATCAGGATGATCATTGAAGAAGATCAGAAACAGTGTAGGACCCAGGATAGAGCCTTGGGAACACCAGCGTTCATACAAAAGGAACTGGAGGAGAACCTGATTAGGACGACCTTCATTTCATGGTTTGACAGGAATGATTGGATTAAATCAAATAATCGTCCAGCGATACCGTATTTTTTAATCTTACGAACAAGGCTGGTATACCAAAATCTATAAAACGACTTAGAGTTATCTAGAACCCCAGCTCGAGCTTTACCGTTATTATCAAGAGATTGGTATACAAATTCAGTTATGGCCATAAGCAGGTCAGCGATAGACCTGGCAAAGCGGAAACCATATTGTGTGTCAGAGAATAGATTATGGGAGGTAAAGTGCTTAACTACTTCGGCATTGATTAAAGCCTCGAAGACTTTGCCAAAGAGTGGTAGAAGACTGATAAGACGGTAGTTAGATGGGTCAGAAGGGTCTCTGTAGTTCTTAAAGACAGGGACAAAAGATGAGGAGTTCCAACAGGCTGGAAAGTAAGAGTCAGTGATTCAATAGTTATATAGTTTGGAGAGAACTGGAGCAAGCTCAGGAGCATATTTCTTTAGGACTATGGCTACTATCCCGTCATCATCACTTTATGGGAGTCTAATTTAGAGAGGATGGTCAGTACCACTGGTGGGGTTATGTTCATCTCACTAAATATAGCCTCAGTTATATGGGGAAAATTAGGTGTTGGCATTCCGGATAAGTCGAATGTTGAGTTGAATGATAATTTCCGAGCAAAGCATTCAGCCATATAGGCTGTGGAAGTTAGGACTTCGAACTGATTGAATAGAGGAGGGATTGTGGATTCGACCTTGTTCAGCACACTCTGTAGAGCCGCCAATAATCTTTAGAATCAACATTGCGAGATGCAATACGTTGTTTCATTTTTATCAGCAAATAATAACCTTGTTTCATTGAGGACACGCTTGCACTAATTACGAGCAGAGACAAAGGAACGTCTACTGCAATCAGACATGTCGTTTCGGTACAGACGGGAGAAGTGATTCCTATGGGCTATAGCGGCAGAGTAAGCAACTGAGAACAAAGGAGGCGAGCACGATTTTACTTTATATTTTCTTGCTGGGATGTAAGCCTCGATGCCCGTTTTACCCAGGAGGAGACCTCAGACGCATACTTTTGTACAGGGGGATTAAAAACCATATTCTAAGGGACGTCGCGAAGGAAATCACGGAACGGTGCGTTGATAACAGAAAAATATTCTATTAGTAGGAGGTTCTTGGCTAATAGACATAATAGTTAATAGACACTACGGCGTGGTCAGAGTTGCCAAGTGGGGAGAGATGCGTAGCGCGACAAGAGTCAGGGATGGAGGTAAAACAGAGATCGAGAAGGGGATGTTACCGTCAGAGTTACTGGAGAAACGTGTAGGAAAGTCATCCATTTGGGTGAGGGATTGAGTGATTGAAAAGTTAAGGGTTTAGATACCAGCGAAGTGAGTTACTGAGTGTTTAAGCCACATGGTATGGTCGTCGAACACGAATATGTACGCAAAAGGATGTAGAGAAATGGCCTTATCTATATTATCTGGAATGCTAGTCTTAAGAGAAGAGGGAACGATAGAGAGATAGACGGGGGACACAAACGAATGGTCTGAAGATTCAAGACAGAGTTCCCTAGCCAGCGGGAGATGATCGCGGGCATAAACTCCCAGGCCATGCAAGTGGATTTTAGAGTCTTTTCAAAGGAGAGGAAGTTAGTCGGGAATCGAAAAATCAGAAGAGGGGATTGACAAGTTAAGGTTAGTCTCGCAGAGAGATAGGAAACTTTTCGAAGAGGAACGATTGCACACTGGAGAATTTGGTACGAATACCAGGAATTTTGGCGAAGGAAATTTTAAAGGGTTTAGGTGATTTTTTGAGCTGGTTTAGGTCATCATATGTGACATGGGAAGAAAGGAACTGGCGCAGACTGCAACATCATGTGGCCTCAGGGTTGCCCGCTGGAGGTGCGTGCAGGGACACCCTTCCATGAACGACATGGCACTACAAGCACCCCGATATTATACAACTGTTTGTCAGAGCAGCCGCTCAAGACGCTATGCATGTCTTCGGGCTCCAAACTACCAGTCAGGAACAGCAACCAGAAAACTGCTAACCCGGTAACTTCAGTATGAAGAGACGTTACCACAAACCGCACACCTCACAAGAGATTCATGACAGTCATCTGAGGCCAGAGAAAAAGAAAGAATCCGAGAACCGCTTCCTAAACAGAAAACAAAGGATGAGCTTCTACTCGTGTTTGAGAAAAGAGGGAGGAGTATTGACCGGGCGACAGGAAAGCCTATCTACTTCTATTACACAAAAACAAACAAACAAAACAACAAAAAAGAAGTCCATGAACAAAAGTTGCAAGTTAATTTAAGTGCCAACATGCACTTCCCGTTGAAGACGAACACTGCACGTCTGTGAGACAAGCTTAAAAATAAAGTCCAATATTTTCATGATTTAACATTCAAACAAAGTTTTCAAAAATTGGGTAGAATAAATTCATTTCACTTAAAAATAAAATAAAATAAAAAAAGAATTAGTACAGAGTAAAAAAAAAGGAATAGGTAAATAAAAAGATTAAAGAATTAAATTCAAAGAGATACATACAAATTAGACACGCAACGCTATTCATTTTCAAGCAAGGACTGGCGTTTGTTTTATTTTTTGACCATATAGTATGTTCGAATTTAAATACCAAAAGCGAGGGGGAGGGGCGCAGTGATAATATAACTATGTATCAGCATTAACTTCGCAAGTAAGACGAACACTCCACGTCTGTGAGCCAGGAATGAAAAATAACGTCAAATATTTGTATGAGCCATAAAAAAAGAAAATCATAGATCTAATATTCAAAGAAGTTTTCAAAAAGTGGGTATATATATAATGCGTGCATGACATTATAACATGAAAAAAATTCCATAACGTATAATTTTTTCATGTTCTAATGAACGCTCAGCACATTGTCAACCATTTTGCATTTAAAAGCATAATGAAAAAATTACGGTAATGGATAACAACGCACAACTTTGTATAAATACTTATATTAATGAACAATATATAGTTTGTACTACTTGCACCCCTGAAGATGATCTTGGAAGAAGATCGAAAGTACTTGGGAAATGAAAATAACAGAAATTTAAACAGCTATAGCACATTTCTCTCATCCTTTAACATCAATACACGGAAAGTTATTCGTGAGTATGAACGGGTTTTATTACAAATTAGCAGACATAATGTCTGTAATTTATTTAATCAGACATGCCTGAAAAGAAAGAGAATTTTGCTAAATACACGAAAATATAATATATATATATATATATATATATATATATATATATATATATATATATATATATATACACAAGTATATAATTGGTATATACAGAATGAATTCCAATAACCAACAATTACTATTCTTAAAAGAGTGCTCAATACTAAGTAGAGCTGATATAATTATTATTTATAAAAAAATTATAACATAAGTATGTTATAAAATCACTACAAAATTTTTGCAGTGATTTTATAACATACTTATGTTATAATGTTTTTTATAAATAATAATTATATATATATATATATATATATATATATATATATATGACATAAAGTCAACACTTAGAGGCGATAGGCTGTTTCATTCTAGACGCAGTCGTGGCCTGACGATTGCGTCTAGCATGAAAACAGCCTGTCACCTCTAAGTGTTGACTTCTATGTTCAATTTTATATTTACACACGCTCTATCTCTGATATTGAGCACCTTTATCCTTTGTAGGATGAATGTGGGCGATAGTAATTGCCTATGTTGTGCAGGATACCCAGGACGATTACGGATGAATTGAATCACAGTTTAAATCACAGTTTCCTTTCGTTCCCCATATAGATAAGGCTATTTTCAAGAAACTAAGCGGGTTAACTCTGTGTTAATGCGTCTGGTGTCTACGAGCACATTCATTTTCATTTCTTGTGTAAGACTTGAAGCTGGCATCATTTTGATACGACTGAAAAAGAAATGAGAATTTTTAAAACTTGCACATGGCTCATAAAATTACATCGGATCAATATATATATATATATATATTTATGGAGAAATATATACCGGATGTAATAACAAAATTGTCCGAATCGTGTAAAAGCAAAATTGTCCAATTGTTAGATTAAGTTCTGAACCGTTGTAGCTTAGAAATGATTAAAGATATCTTACTGGAATTCTCCGAGATTTTTATAGCCCTACGGGACTCTACTTTGAGAAATAAAAAATGTATAATTACTCACTAAGCCTAATAGAAGGATCGTGAGGAAATCGATCATAAACAAAAGTGTATATATTTATATAATGTTGCATTTTCAAAATACGGTCAAGATATTGTGTCCATGTCATGTAATATAAATAAATACATGCAACAATCGATTTCTGCTTAACAGTTAATATATTTCAACCTTGAAAATGGTTAAATGTATAGCCGAAAGCGCTCGGAAGAATAACAACATTTGGACAGTTTTTATATAATTTATCTACTGAATAGAAAAAAAAAAGAAGATCACATGAGAAATTATATAAAAAACTTGATCAAAGCACGTTTTCTCTCATATTTAATGAAACTTGCATGAAAGAAGGATTGCTGCCTAAATACACAATACACACACACAAATATATACATATATATATATATATATATATATATATATATATATATCCTGTAAATTCAGTAGTTGATCCAGAAGGATGCCATTTATGCAAATAGCTTTAAATGATATCCGTGTGCAATCGGAATTAGCAATGTACTTTGCATAGTTAGATAATTGGCGTGAAAAATCTTCTGTCAGCTGCGACCACTCTTATGTCGGCCACGGCTCTTTGGTAATTCAGTTTATAAGAACAGCTGCCAAATTCGATGACGTCATAGGAGTGGAGTGATCGGATGTTGTTGGGAAAAGACAAACGCAAGAAAATTTTAAAAAAGACACAAATAAAGAGATGCAATAAAACGTAAGAAATAAACAATGAAAACTATAAGTTAGAAAGAGATCAAAAAGAGAGAAAGAAATAAGGAAAGAACGCAAGATAGAAAAAAAAACAATAGAGAGAAGAAGAGTATAAAGAAAGAAAAATGAAAATATAAAGCAAGCAAAAAAGAAAGAAAAGTAGCAAGAGAACATAAAAGGAGGAAAGAAAAAAGAAAAAATATAAAAGAGAACAAAGAACGAAAAATAGAAAGAAAATACAAAAAGAAAAGAAAGAAAATAAAGGAAGAATGAAAGAAGATAAAATGAAAGTGAGTAAAAAAGAACAAGAATCAAAGAAAGACAGAAAGAAAGAAAAGAGGAAGATAGCGAAAAGAAGAAAAGATAAAAAGAGAGAGAAAAGGAACGATAGAAAGAAAGAAAGAAAGAAAGAAAAGAAAGAGATAAATAAAAAAAAATAACAAAAAGAAAGACAGAAAGAAAGAAAACAGGAAGATAGCGAAAAGAAGAAAAGATAAAAAGAGAGAGAAAAGGAACGATAGAAAGAAAGAAAGAAAGAAAGAAAGAAAGAAAGGAAAGAGATAAATAAAAAGATAACAAAAAGAAAGAGAGAAAGAAAGAAAGATCGGAAAAGTGAAATAGAAAAAAGAAACAGAACGTTAAATAGATAAGATGAAGTAAAAAATACACAAGTAGGCAAAGAGATCAAACAAAATGTACCTAAAGTATCGAAGCTTTTTATAATCTAGAATAGATGGTCATCTGCTAAGTTCACGAATCTTTCGAGCCTAATGTCGTATTTACTGTATTGATCGTTGCAGCAGACAGAGTAAATTATCCCCTTATTAGATACCACCTGGAGGCTATAAAGGTTTCAAGTCGATTGAAACAGCTGAATGAGAATTCTTCTTAATGTACCGTGTCCTAAATCCTGTTCTGCCAACCATTTACTCAAACAAACCCTCTAGCTGGCTTATGCGTTGTTTTCCTCTGTCCCTCTTGTTCTTAATCTGTCCTGTGAGTATCAGATTTTCCAAACCCTCTTTGCTCAAAACGTGCTCTAGAAATATCAAGTTCCAGATTCTAATTATAAGTTTCCCTTTTCCATTTTCTCGAAAACTTTTTCGTTGCTCGCAACTTTGGTCCATGGGATTTTCATAACCACTTTTCTAGAACCACATTTCTGTTGTTTCAATGTTCTTTATCATCTTTGAGAAGATTGTACAGCATTCACTATAGGAGGAATGATATTACGTAACAATTCAGTATTTCGTTTTTTGCTTCTAACGAAATGTTTCTGTTTATTAATACTTTGCTTAGCTTTTGGAAGGCACCTTTCGCTCCTCAAATTCAGTTCGATAAAAAAGATAATTCAAGCTCATATTTAAAATGTCATTCAATGAATATTAAGCGAAGAAAGTTTCAAAATATGAATTAATTTTGTCTTTTTTTAAAAAAAATTAGGCTAGATCGTTAAGTGTCAAAAATTAGCAAGCAATGTAAAATTGGTTATCCGAGTTCAAATTCCAGGCTAGTCTATGACGTCTATTTCCACACTAATCTCCTTTGCGAAGAAGGGAGACCCGTCTCTTCTTCCCCTCCACTGTCTCCACACGCGGAAGATTACACTTCTAACGTGACTTAATAATTCCAGTCATTGTACGTGTTCTCGTGTTAAAATATCTTCACAAGAGGCATAGGATGGAAGGGAATCGAGTCACCATTTCTGGATTGGTTGCCAAGGAAGGCTAGAAAATAAAAAAGGAAGAAATATAAAAGAAAAATATAAAGAGGATAAAAGAAAGAAAGAAAAAGAAAAAAAACTATAAAGAGAACAAAAAGAAAAAAAAAGAGGGTAAAAGAAAGAAAGAAAGAAAGAAAGAGAGAAAGAAGAAAAGAAAACTATAAAGACAGCAAAAAAGAAAAAAGAAAAATATAAAGAGGATAAAAGAAAGGAAAATATAGAACTACTAAGGGAACAAAAAGAAAAAAATGAGGGGGGGAAAAGAAAGAAAAAAACTGTAAAGATAACAAAAAAGAAAAAAAGAAAAATATAAAGAGGGTAAATGAAAGAAAGAAAGAAAAACTATAAATAGAACCAAAAGAAAAAAGAAAGAAAAAAAGAAAGAAAGTGTCATACCTGAACGTACCTATTCTATTATTAATAGACTCTCCCACACATAATAAGTAGTAGTAGTAGTAGCGGACGCCAGTTGGGCTCAGTGGTGTTGAGCGAGTCAGTCGATATCGGACATTAAAGTATCATCACCACAACTAGATTGCTGCGTCATTAATTATTATTGCGAGTTCCTAACGTTTTGTACGTCGGACCCTTTTTAGGACCGACTTAGTGAACTACAAGCCTCCACTGTAAAAAAAAAAAACTACTCTACAACAGAAAGAAAGAATGAAAAATATAAAGAGGATAACAGAAAGAAAAAAGAAAAAAACTATAAATAGAACGAAAAGAAAGAATGAAAGAAAAATGTAAAGAGGGTAAAATAAATAAAGAAAAAAGAAGAAAACTATAAAAGGAAGAAAATGAAAGAAAGGAAAAAATAAATAGAAGGCGGGCAAAAAGAACGAATGAAACCAAAGACAGTAAGAAAGAAAGGAAAAAGAAAGCGAAAAGAAAAGAAAAAACAAAAGTAAGAAAAGGAAAGATATAAAATGACCTGGGAAGCAGGAAGATGGATCATACCTCTCATACGGGAAAGTAAACATAATGAACTGAATCCAAAACTTCTGTTTTTGAGCAGCTAACCGTTACACTATTTGTAGATTCAGCTTTTTCTTCTCCAAGCTCTGTGTCAAAATCTATGGTAAACACTTTTTTCAGCCTGTAGAGGAAACTTGTACGCCATACCAAATCAAAGGCTTTCGAGATGTCCAATGCTAAAGCCCGGGCTTTACTGTTTTTATCTAGACCATTATAGACTCTTTCCACAATTATCGTCAGTACATCAGCTTTGACCTGGAGAAACGAAATCCGTATTGATTGTCTGAGTAAAGGCCCTACGATGATGAACTAATTCATCATTGATTCGGGCCTCTAGGAGTTTCCCCAAATGATTTAGAAAGCTAATAGGTCGATATGGGAAGGGTCGGACGGCTAGCCAGAGTTCTTAAAAACTGAAGCAAAAGACGATTACTTATGAAATATATTTCTTTAACAGTTAATGTCTCTCCAATGGGAGCGAAGTCTAATACATGATTCTGTTTGAAATGGATAGAAACACTTATCTGAAGTTGATCGTATCTCTTCTTCCGATGTCTGCTTGTCGATGCATTAACATGTCTATTCAGACGTGGCCAACATCGCTTTCTCCTTTGGAGTAGGCAAAAACGCGTCCTTTCACCCCGGTTGTCTTCAAGCCTCTCGTTTGACGCCTCAAATCCATTTGGGGCCTAAATTAGGGTCTTACTCATTAATACGAGATAAATAAACTCTTCTCATCCTATCAGGGATCTTATCCACCAAAACCTTGATTTTTCAATTTCTCACCCTTTCGATTCTTGTTAATTTTTATATGATGATGTTTTAAGAAACTTCTTTGCTTTATTGCAAATAAAATTGAATTATTTTTAATTCATTTTATTTTTTCATTTAAATTTTTTAATTCAGCTACGACTACTTCAGATATTTGACAGATTTTTTATTCTGACGTTAACAGTATAAGTATGTTGTAACCTAGGAAATGTTACTGAAGGAGAAATAACCAAAACGGAGGTTGCAAATGAAATGGTAATCTTTATAACATCAACAAAATACATTACTCGCCAGCGGCGTGAAGTAGGTAAACCACTGCTAGTTATAGACTACTTAGACAGCATATTACCTCCACTTACGTATTTATGAGGATTGGGACATACCCATTAGTGTTCATAGGTACGGTATATAACAAAGTATAAGTTAGCTATATATAATTTTTACTTTAGTAATATCCATCTTAAGGAAATTAATTTGAAACTAATTCATTATCTTTCGCAAGAGGTCATAACAATTCACAGATAATAAAGAAAAGAAATATGTAGAGAGCCATTATCGCCTACGTTCTGGAGAGATAGTTTTTTAAAAATAGTTTTCACCCCATGCAAAGCAGTAAAGCCACTAAGACGCAAAGGGTTACAGGGTGTGAAAGAATTAGGAACAGAAACATTAATAATGAGCGGGAAGAGGAAAAAGTAAGTAGCTAGACAGTAGACCACGCTTGATATTTCATTGAAATTTTTGCAGATTAAAGTTGGCTGGAAAACAGGGAGCCAGGAAGGGAGTTCCACAAGCGCGAAATGCGAGAAAACAAACTGTTAACATAGAACTTACTGCTACATCGAACCAGCTCAAATGTACTTTAAAAATAATATTCAAGGGGTGTGCGGAAGCGTAATTATTATCAACGCAGGAAAATCATGAATCCATTTATTCTCCCCATCAGCTATGGATTAAATACAGGATAGACTGTACTCACGAGCCTTGGGTGGCAACCAGTTTTGTGAAGAACTACTCTGAATTCAAAACCGTGGAGTAAGCAGCGGGAAATTATTCGGCTGTATTTCCCCAAAAGTGTAGACAGTTGACAGATAATAAAGGAAAGGAACCTGTGGAGAGCCATGATCCCATACGTCCTTCTTTCTCTCACCAATCGACACCCTTTATTAAAATATTAAATATTTGTAAAGCTTCAGTAGTTCTGAGGAGTATAACATACCAATAATATTTTAAAAATATGTGGGATTAAGTCAACTAGTTCGTCTTTCCGGATAAAAATATAATTCAAACAAAAATTAAAGCGATGTTGGTTCATTTGAAACGCAATAAAAATTTAAAGAGAATTTTATATTCAACTGAAAAATAAAAATCGAAGCAGTGACAGTTTCTAAAACATCATGATGTAAAGACTTAAGGAAAAAATCGAAGAGGTGACACATTTAAAATTTTCATTGATGATTGTCTTGTTAAAATTTAATAAAAATTCAAACAAAATTTTTAATTTAGTTTTCTTTGTTTTAGATGAATTCATTGAATCCACATGGATTGAAAAACTATAACAACAGGTGTTGAGAAAGGGGGAAGAAATATCTTGGGTTTTCTCCATTCTCCAAGGCCCACATTAAACATTAATTTAATCGTAATATACTAACACCTCAAAGAGAGAAAGGATTACAATACCTCAAAAAATTTCCAAAAATGAGTTCTGTCTGAAAACATTATAGAACATTATGTAAAATAACAAATATAAAACAAAAGCTTTAAATGTTTCTACGAGGACACGGCCAACCCAAGTCATATTTAGGTTTAGAACACAATGGCTTTTGTTCGTTATCCTGACAGCTGTTGGTTTGCATATCTCCCCCATCTATCTATCTCTTTCTCTCTCTTTCTCTATATCACTCTCGCTCTCTCGGTGTTAAGGATAAGATATTCTCACACACAGGCTATCGTCACCCATGGGCTGTAACGTGACATTTAGAGCCCTTTAGGACATTGTTAAATACGTCTTTTAAAAGGGTAGTTAATTGTCACTTGCATCCCTAACCCTACACAATAAAAATCCTTAGTTTAGTCTTCTATAACTAATTTTACCCGGATATTTCAGCAGATTGGTATGTCGGTTGTTGGCTTATAACCAGGTCGGAGGTTCGAATCAGTGAACGGTCCCTGAATTCGATTTATTTTATTTTTGTTTTAGTTTTTATTTTAAACTATTGGCTGGAAAGTATGGAGTCGGAAGGGAGTTCCACAAGCGAGAAGTGCAAAAAAAGAAACTGTTAGCATAGAACCTACGGCAATATTTAGCCAGCACAACTGTAAATTGATGAGATCTCGACATCAGTCAAGTACTGCGTTTAATTTTTTTTTTTAAAGTCTAGGTACCATAGCGAAGAGCTCATCTGAACAATTACCATGAAAATATTTATAAAATAAGGCACAGAGAACCAACCATACGGCTGTGGGTAATTAACTGAAGCCGAGCCGCCAGATCTGTACTAATAATATTCCTGTTTCTTTTTTTAGTCTTATCAAGGAGCTCAATGTAAATAACAGGGGTACCGGACCATATGTAGCAGCAATATTCTAAGCAGGGACGTATGATAGACCTATAGATATGTAAGATAGATTCTAAAAAGAAAAATTGTCTCGTACGTCACAGTGAACAGACTTTCTTAGAAGTTGACCTAGCAATGGATTCAATATAGTCTTTTTAGTTTATGTCAGCTGAGAACGTTAGTCCGAAAAGGCACAACGAGTCACTTTCCTGGAGGTTAGCATCAGCCATGCAGATGGAAGGCAGAGATGGGTCTCTCAGATGATTAATAGAGAGAAGTTTAGTTTTGGAGGTCTTAAAACTAGCATGGCATCTTTTGCTCCAGTTAACGACGGACTTGAGCTCGTTTTGGACATCAGCTGCCATTTTGACATTGTCGGACTGATCAGCCTTATTATCGCGGCAGGAGTATATGGTTGTGTCCTCAGCATAGACACCAAGTTGAGAGCTGATGTCATCATAAAGTTATTAAAGAAAATTAAAAACAGCGTAGGACCAAGGATAGAGGCCTGGTGGACGCTTGAAAGAATCTAGACTAGTGGCAGTTCAGGACAACTTTTATTTCACGATTTGATAGGAAATACTGGATCAGCTCAAAAATGTATCCGGGGTCCCTGTAACTTTTTAGCTTATGGAGTAAACCTGTATGCCAGACCCTGTGAAAGCCTTTTGAGATGTGTAATACTACAATCCGGGATTCACCGTTTTTATCTAGAGCATGATAGACTTTTTCTGCATTTATCGTCATTAATCAATTGATCTAGAGAACTATAAGCCATATTGCTTGTCAGAGAAAAGGCACTGCAATAAAAGATGATGAACCAGTTCCACATTGATTAGGACATCTAGGAGTTTTCCCAAAAGAGGTTAACAGATCGATAGTGGGTAGGTTCGGACGGTTCGCCATAGTTCTTAAAAACTTGAACAACAGACGATAACTTTCAGTAGACAGGAAAGCAGAAGACAGCGATGAATTTATATGTCCCGGAAAGGGATATATTTGAACGAAGTAGCTAAGTGGTTTTGGTTACAATAACCAAGGAGAATAAGGTAGCAGTAATCGACTGGTACGCGTCGTAGTCGCAGGTAAGAAGTGTAGATCAATGGCGTAGTCCAATGGGCGTCTTTATAGACTTAGCTCTCAGACTAAGGCTCTTTGACTCTGTCATACCTACACGTCCGCTCGTATTTATGACGGACACCAGCCAATCATATTCCAGTGAGGGGATCACAGCTGTACACATATTCCATGATATCAATTTATTAGACAGTTTAGAGAGAACAGGAGGCAGTTCGGAAGCACATTACTTAATGATTATTACAGTAATACAATCAGGTCAACTTGCTTTGTGGGGATGAAGATTAGAGATTATAGCAGAAACCATGAAAGTGGTTGGAATCAAATACAGATTAAATATGGATAGATCCGATAGAATGACAGAATATCTTCATATCTTACTTTTTGTTGAGGCTTTAGTAAAAAGCAAAACACTTTAGATTCATAAACGTTTCCAACTTTATATATGTATAAAAAGAGTTATTTGCAAGTAGAATCTAATAGAGTTTAAAAAACAAAGTTTTTCTTTCTCTTAGGCTGTTTTTTTTTCTGGTATGAAATATTTATTTCCTTTCCTTAAATATCTGTTCGTTCA